TGCCACGTCGAATCTGTTCCATTTTGATTTTCTAAGTTCTACGTTCCGTTAAGTTAAGTTAAGTTGCCATTATCAGGCTAAAACGTACGACAACGGATCAACTGACCCGAGCGGGGCTTAGTAGCCGCTACAACAACAACAACAACTGGTNCAGTTGTCAAAATTCCTTGGACACACACACGAAATAGCGGCAATTTTTTCTTGACCGTTTTCTTGAGAGCTGCATACCAACCTTTTACAGAAAAAATGCTGTTTTTGTTCCCGTACTTTTTGTTATTACTCACTTTTTACTCTCACTTCAGAGAGTAATTTTGCTGTTTGACATTTTAACAGGATTTTACATGAAAAGTATTGGATCAGAGCTTTTATAAACTTTTTTTTTTACTTGTTCACAATAGTTCTACCAATGACATTTGACTAGTTTTGGCACGTTTTTGACGTCTATTAATTCATTTTTGTGTTATCTTCCGTTTGGGTGTAATTTAACAAATATTCTAAAATTATTAAATATTCTGTGATTAATTAATAAATTCAAACCTATTAGGCATTTAAAATGAATGTACTGGTAAGAACGGTGTTGCTGGCGCTGCTGGTGCTAGCAGGATTTCTGGTGTTCACCGCTGCACAGAGTAAACAAAAGGTAACCGATATACAGGGTGATTACCCTGAGCGCTATGGCCACGTCATGGACCGCAAGCAGGTTGATCGACACAAATCTTAATCATTTATATGTTTCTTTTACTATATCTTACCTAGACGGGTCTCTCATTATCAGAGAAGGTGCGCAACCTGCAAGATATGAATATGAAGAAAGCGCTGCTGCGTTTCAATGGACAGAAATTTCGTGAATATGTGAAGAATACGCCTCGAAACTACTCTGTTGTGGTCATGTTGACAGCGTTAGCTCCTTCGAGGCAATGCCAAATATGCCGTCATGCCCATGATGAATTTACAATTGTAGCCAATTCTTATCGCTACTCACCGACTTACTCAAATAAATTATTCTTTGCGATGGTTGACTTTGATGAGGGCTCCGATGTATTCCAAACGCTGCGTATTAATACAGCGCCTGTTTTTATGCATTTCCCTGCCAAGGGTAAACCCAAAGGTCCTGATACCATGGATATCCATCGTGTAGGATTTGCCGCTGAAGTGATTTCGAAATTTGTTCATGAACGCACCGATATACAAATACGTATTTTCCGACCACCGAACTACTCTGGTACCGTAGCAATGATAACGTTAGCTGCTCTAGTCGGCGGCTTCCTCTACATACGTCGCAACAACTTAGAGTTCCTATATAACAAACAAATTTGGGGCGCTTTGGCGTTATTCTTTTGTTTCGCCATGATTTCAGGGCAAATGTGGAATCACATACGTGGTCCACCATTGGTTCATAAAAGCAAAAATGGGGGTGTTGCATATATACACGGGTCATCTCAAGGACAACTAGTGGTGGAAACTTACATCATTATGTTCTTAAGTAAGAAATTGCACTGATTTTAGTTATGTTTTGATAATCTCAAAAGCTACATTATATTACAGATGCTATGATTGTCCTGGGAATGGTTCTGCTTATAGAATCTGGTTCACAAAACGATAATAAAAGAGCGCGCATAATGGCCATAGCTGGTCTATTGCTGGTTGTTGTGTTCTTTTCCTTCCTGTTATCGGTGTTTCGATCAAAGGCACAAGGTTATCCTTACAGGTAAGAGTATGAATATAACTTAAAACTATTTAAAATACATATTTTTATGTTTTCATTTCAGTTTCCTTTTCAAATAAACGATTCGATGAGCTTCAGCCATTTTTTATCTTAAATCGTTGCATTCGAAATCATTCTTAGTCGATTTTTTCTGTGAACATTAAAAAAAATGCAGAAGGATTTTAGTAGAGTTTAAATAAAACTGTATCAAGACATATTCCTCAGCTTTTATTTTCTAGTTGGATAAGCGTTAATGGTTGTACATCACGACATGAACTCGTCTTTGAACCGACGACTATACCAAAGGAATGTAATATAACTATCTTTAAAAATTTTAATTAAAATATGTATGTAAGTATCAAAAATATTATAAGTTCAATAATGATTACAAAATGAAGGGTATAAGCGCCTTTCGTGTTTTCGGATAATTTTTAAAATTTTCCTTGTACCATTTGTGCGTGAGCAATGCATTCATCAACTGTAAAGTAAAAATACAAAATAATACAACTTGTTAGGAAAAATGTACGACGTTTACCTGATTGGAAAATACCCATATGAATATTAAGAGCCATGTAGTACTATTTAGCATCAATCCCAACACCGCCACATACATGACGATTTCAAAAAACATATGCGGCGAGGAGATCATATTGAAGAATCCACCTGTCGGAAGTAAATGCTGTTCAGTTTTTATTTCACCACTTTTAGCATCTTTACGCAAGTTAACAAGTATCATATTTGACTTGTACTGTTGTGTCCAACTAAAGTGAAAAATAAATATGCAAAGATATTGTACAAGTGAAATTTGCTTCAAAGAGAAAGGCGAGGGCTGAGTTCCTGTAAAAAAGTAATTATATAAATCAATAGTTATTTGGAGTAGTATGGAAATTCAAGCGCACCTACCTCTTACAAAGCCTTGCGTATTCGCTAATAACGCCAATATTGCACCAAAATAGTGTATGTATCCAACTAAATAATGACTCCAATTAATTCTACTATTTTTCGAGAATATTTGTACGAAATTTGTCTCATAAAATCGCCTTCCACATTGCATAGTCATGAGCACTGTAGCTACCAAAGCGCAAGTGGAATCAACTTGCACACTTCTATTCGCTTGGCCACCAGCCATAAAATCCAAAAATGTCAACACCATTTCTGGCGCTTCTGCTTTCGCAATGAATCCTTTCAGCACGAGAACAAGTGCCAACAGTGACCAGGAGAAAGCGAAAATGTAGAAATGTTTAAACCAACTCTTTGGTATTTCCGTAAGACTAATTAATGCATTTGTAGTGCCTTTATGGCAATGCTTGCCATACCGGAATGACTGCCGTAAGGAGTTGGGCAGCAAAGACTCTACAAGATTAACGAGGCTACCGAAGACTATTATCACTGCAGTAAAACCGATAAATATAAAGTTCAATAAATTGAAATTATATTCTTCTATAAACTGGTTTAAGCTATTATAAGCCAATGTTAACATTTTTTTATAATTATAATGGTGAACTTGTGTGAAGAACTTATTTCAGTTGTAGAAATAAATTGCCCTTTCACTTTTACTTTGCAGAGGAAAGAAATTGCTCAATGCACATCTCTTATCGCATTTCTTTCCGGTTGGCAGAGAACGTAAAGTATAAATTTACGTTCTCTGCGGTTGGCTTTTATATTCACAATAAAAGCTACACATATGACATTTGTTATATGCTCTACGGTGAATAGCCGCCATATTTGCAGAGAACGTAAATTTATCCGCTTGCCGGTGAGTTGATTATTTCCGAGCGCATATTAAATACCAAAAAACATACATTTTGGATATTCTCCATAGTGTATTGGTAAACAAATCACATTGAAAATGGACGAGGACCTGCTGTTGCTTTGCGTACTACTTTTGGCTAAACAAGTCAAAGATATTCGGAGGCGAAATACTGCGAGCAGCGATGATGATGGGAGCAGTGATGATGCGAGTAGCGAGGATATTGCTGCGAGCGCTGGAAATCGCGTACAGCAAACGTCTACTCCCAAAGGTAGTCGAGCAAATGCGGTTGCTAATATATCCACCAGAATTAAGGCGCCTATAGCTCGTACAACTGCTCGAGCTGCGATAAAACGGCGCAGTGCGACGACAATTGCTTCCAACATGGGGTCCCTTAAAAAAATAAAAACAACTACAATATCTTCTTCAGACAGTGACAATACATTTCTTAATGATGTGTCAGATAATGAAGTAACTGAACAAATACCTGAAAGCCATAGCACCGAGACTTGCAAAATTGCTATAGCACCTCAAAAATATCCCGAAGTGAAGTTCACTGACGAGGAGATAATGAAAATTAAAAAGAGTTTGTTGGCTGAAATAGATGAAACCGAAGATCTTCCTGCAGGCATTGGCTTTACATCCAGCGTATCGGAAGATGGATGGCTCTCGCTAACATGTCAAAATGTACAAACCAAGGATTGGCTGATGAGTGTCATATATACGCTTAATTCAACCTTAAATATGGATATTAAAGCATCCATTGGCGGTGCTCTTTCACATACTTTCATCTGCATTCTACATATTTTACCGGAGGACATAATGGCACCGGATGCTTTAAAAATTCGTTTAGCAAAGCAAAACCAGGGCCTATCAACTAATGATTGGCGTTTACTGAATGCAGTAAAAACTGAAAGTGGAGGCCAAACTGTTACTTACTGCATAGATGCTAAGTCCAAGAGCATTATAGAAACTCGAGGCAGTAAACTTTTTTTAAACTTCTCACAGACAACTGTGGAAGTGAAATGAATAATGAATATTTATCAACTATAGCCTCATAGGCTTATTAATACGGTCATCGTAGATTTTTTGAGTTTTATGTAATTAATTTACATTTAATTTAAATTTTTAATCATATTTGCGATTTTTTTCGTTTGAAACTTAAGAAACAAAAGCCTCATACATACATACATATAAGCGAGAGGCCCCAATGTATTGTTATGCTACGTATAAGATTATCTCGTAATTTTTTATAACTTTAAATCTATATACATATGTGAAGTTACGTTTTTTTTTTTTTTTTGTTTAAAAGTGAATCGAATAAAATTTCTTGAATCGTTATAGTTTTCGATTTTAAGAACTTGCATAAACATAAGGGGTGATCCATTTAGACCCTTGCTTTTTTAATTTTAAATAAAACAGAACTGGGATGCCTGAATCTTTATTATTACTCGAAATAACAATCTTTGACATTTAATTTTTAAATATAATTTCTTTGAAGGGATTGCGCCATCTCAGAAAGTAACGCCAACCTTGAACAAACACTCGACTGCAATATTGAAAACGCCATAAAGTTCATCAGCGAAACCTTAAAAAACACACGAAGTATAACTTTAAGAAGAGCACAACAACTCGGGAGCAACATGGCCTCGTAGCCAAGCCCCCGTGCATATATTTTATAAAAAGTTATTTATAAAATATAAAGATAAATAAATAAAGCTCTTTGAAGTGTTGGCCGCAGATAGAACGTAACCGTCAATGACGAGCTTTGCCGCACCCACTCAACTAACGCTCCTACCGTTGGGCCAACCTTATTGAGACAGCCCGTTTCCTGGGTCTACCGTTAGTTGAGTTTGGCGACAATGATTGAAGGATGAACTGAATTAGGCGGGGCTCAGTAGTGCCGCTACAAAAACAAAAACAGCGGTACCACACCATGATATTTTTGTTGCCTGAAATTGAAGCCCGTGATGCCAGCGACATTTGGTTTCAGCAAGTTATTGGGCCGTATGCATAAAAAGTAAGCAATTGCTTTTTCTTAAAAGTTAATACCTTTTACCTAAATTTATTTAAACAAATCGAGTAAAAGGTCTAAAATTTTAAGTAAAAGAATTTGCTAGGGTTTGATGCATTCGGCCCATTGTGTATTATCACACCTCTGGATTTTTTTCTTTGGGGTTATGTGAAGAAAAGTCTTCATCTAATCCAGATGTGATTTAAAACTTGGAAGCCAAATTACTAGCGTAATTCGCGCATTGCTGGAAAGAGCAATTGAAAATGGGATCTTCCGTATGGACCACCTACAGCGTAGTCGCGGCAACATTTAAATGAAATTAAAAAAAAAATAACTGCCAGAGACTGTTCTTTTGGGTATTAATAAAGACTCCGACATCCAGTTCTGTTTTATTTATAATTTAAAGAAAAGGTCTAGATGGATCACCCTACATGTATGATCGCTATTTGTTTTGTGGTGTATTCACAATAAATGTTTGTCAAATATACTTCATTTGTAAACAAACAAATTTAATTTAGTCGTTTTTACGGGGGTTTCTTCGATTCGTGGTTAAAAATTTTGCAGCCTTTGTATACTTTGGACAATTCCTTTATCTGACCAGGCATTAGTCATACCCTTTGTCAGTTCACACAACAAAAGTCAACCTGTTAAAATATCTAATAAGCGAGTCTGAAACGCAAAAATATATTGGCGATAATTGAAGGTATGTATGTACATATTTTTAGTATGAAGCCACGCAAGTGTTTAAAATATATAAAATAAAATAATTAACAATTTTCGTACCTTTGGAAGTTGCAAAATACATAAATGTTTATTGTATTGAATTTGATAAGAAATCAATACCTATCAAATTTAATTTTAATTAGCTAACGGCAGAGGGTTTATGGTAAAATGTTAATTACGAGCAAACAAACTGCGAATTTCAATATATTAACACATTGTTGCGAAATAAACTACTAAACATTTTGTTTTCTGGTTTGGTAAATAATTTTTTTTTTTAGAGTAAAATACATATATGGACGTGCGTCATGTCATGCAATATTATTAAGAAATAATGGATGACGAGGTTGTAATGTACTGGAATTGGACGGAATTTTGTTCCACTGGGGTACGGCCATTCGCCGGCGATTCCAATGATTTACTACCATGTTTTCAAGAGATTGTGTTGCAAATTCCAATTTATGCAATTTTTGCAACAATCTCGGCCTATAAGTTTGGATCATATACACGTAGTGTATTGCGAGATGTATTGCAATTGAGACTGCTTTATTTGCGTATTGGTGTAACAATTGTGCTGGCGCAGCTTCCTATCTGGAAAATATTCGTTTTTCATCATACAGGAGTAAAATTGTATCCGGTCGATGTATTGGTCGTAGCTGCAGAATGTTTGATGTGGGCCGTACATGTGGGTGAGTATGATTTACGACATAAAAAACATAAAATTCTTATATTCTATTGCATACAGGGTATCTTCTATCAAAACGACGCTTTGGCGGTCTAAGTCATCGCAGTTCACTGTGCATGAATGTTGCTTGGTTGGCAGTAGTTGTCTTGGATATGGTGTGGTTGCGCACTAGCATCAATTATGATTGGTGGCCGTGGAGCTTAGTAACTGTGATTTTTGATCTCATTTACGGGCTAACTTTAATTCCAACTGGAAATGCAGTATTGGCCACAACCCGTTATCCATCAGCCAGGGTAAATAGTTCAAATCAAATAATCCTTTGTGGTTTAGCTGCTCTACTTTGCCCGCAATTTTCTAATATAACCAAATTCCAGGAAGATGAGTCACTGCTCGCCAACCGCTACACTTACTTCCATTTCGATATGAATGAAACACATCTCGGTCATGCCCAAGACGAAGCCAGTTATCCCTCATGCTTCATTTTTAGCTGGGTAGATCCTTTAATAACGAAAGGTGTTGCAGGCGGTCTTAAAAAAATTGAAGACCTTTTTGATTTACCGGATGCGTTGAACATTACACAGCTAAGCGAACGCCTCCAAGTATGTATTTCACAAACGAAGACATTGTTTTGGGCGCTACACAAGGGATTTGGACGAGAGTTTTATTTAATAGGCATATTAAGATTTACAGCCGACATTGCTGGTTTTGCAGGACCATTGCTGCTAGGTGGCTTGCTGAAGCAGCAAAATGAAAATGATAACGGCGAGACGAGCTGGAGTCCATACCTCTATGCTTTGGGACTATGTGCGACGTCGTGGTTGTGTAAGCACTAAAAAAAGTATGTACATAATTAATATTTATATGCCTTTCCAGCTGCCATATGCAGCACACACTTCAGCTGGCGTATGTCCATGATTGGCATGAAAATGAGAATTGGACTTGTTTNCTTTGGGACTATGTGCGACGTCGTGGTTGTGTAAGCACTAAAAAAAGTATTCATTACGTATGTACATAATTAATATTTATATGCCTTTCCAGCTGCCATATGTAGCACACACTTCAGCTGGCGTATGTCCATGATTGGCATGAAAATGAGAATTGGACTTGTTAGTGCAATCTATCGCAAATCCTTGGAAGCACGTGGTCTAAAGAATTCAAAGCCAGAAATACTCAATCTGATGTCTACCGATACTGAACGAATTGTAAATTCATGCATAAGCTTCCACTCTTTTTGGAGTATACCATTTCAAGTAGGAAATCAGCTTAGATTTGGCGGTGTATGAAACCTAGATTAGAATTAACAATTTTACTTGTAGCTCTTCACTACCCTCTACTTACTCTACACACAATTGGGCGCTGCTTTTTTAGCTGGCCTTATATTTGGCATTGTGCTCATTCCAATAAATCGTTTGCTTGCTCAACGTATCGGCCAATATTCACGTGGTCTCATGTCGGCCAAAGATTTGCGTTTGGCTGCAACAAGTGAAACTATGTGTGGCGCAAAGCAAATCAAATTGCATGCTTGGGAAGATATATTCATAGAGAAAATTCGTGCCTACCGCAAAGAAGAGGTGAAATTCTTGAAAAAACGCAAATACTTGGATGCACTCTGCGTTTACTTTTGGGCTACGACACCGGTATTGATGTCCTTTTTAACGTTCGGAACGTCTGTGTTGATGGGTAATCCTTTGGTGGCGGCCTCCACGTATACAAGTGTAGCGCTTTTAAATATGTTAATTGGACCGTTAAATGCATTCCCTTGGGTACTAAATGGACTAATAGAGGCATGGGTATCTGTGAAACGCGTGCAGGAACTTATTGATGTAAGAGTTGGACAATTATATTAAATACAAAAATCTGTCTCATATCACAGCTTATTATTATTTATCAGTTGCTAATCTTTACTTCATTTAGCTACCTAATCTTGATTTCTCTTCATACTACAATCCGATCATAAAATCTACCGGGTGTGGTACCTCGACAAAATTGGATGAAAAACCAACTGTACTGGAGATGAAGTCGGCGACTTTTGAGCATGAAAACGGCGTGAAAAATGGCGCTGATGAACATCTGCAACGCATCTTTCGTTTGGAAAACGTTAATTTAACTGTGAAAAAGGTATGGAAATAGCACCTGCCGCACTAGAAACTGCTTTGGCTACATACTTTTTCAAATAAATTATTTCACAGGGTGATTTGATATGTTTAGAAGGTCCTGTCGGTGGCGGTAAAAGTGCATTTATAGATGCTATCGTGGCTAGCGTTAACTGCATATCCGGCAGTGTTTGTGTGCACGAGCTAACTTCAGGTATTATATAACATCGATCGAACTTTCGCAAAATTTATTTTCAATTTTGGTATACAGGTTTCGGTTATGTGCCGCAAACGCCTTGGCTGCAACGCGGCACTATACGCGATAACATTATTTGGGGTAATGTATTCGATGAGCAATGGTACAAAGCAGTTTTGTACGCCTGTGCGTTGAATGAAGACTTGGAATTATTGGGTGGTGATTTAATTGGCATAGGCGAAAACGGACGTACGCTATCTGGGGGACAAAGAGCGCGTGTCGCGCTGGCACGAGCGGTCTATCAGAATAAGAAAAGTGCGTATAATTACATATAGTTGAACTCACTTAATTTAAAGGGATCTTGAGCAAATATTTGATAACTTTTAATATGTATTAAAATTGAGTTCATATACTGTTGTTTGTGTTCCATGCAGTTTATTTGCTGGATGACATACTAGCTTCATTGGACGCACACGTAGCGCGTCACATTATCAAATACTGTATACTTGGTCTGTTGAAGGAGAAGACACGCTTTGTGGTGACACGCAGCGTATCATTATTCTATCACGCACATCAGGTGAAATTTTAATATGTTTTCCACAACGCATTGTATGAAATGTATACTGGAAATTTCCACAAATTTAGATACTCCATATCGAGGATGGCAAGGTGACACAAAGCCAATATATGTCCGAAAGTGTTGATATCCATTTGGATTTAGATGAAGAAACCATTGATGATATATACGATTACACTCGTAGATCTTCCATCGATTTGGATGAACAAAACTCACCTGATAAAAAGAGCGTTGACAGTATTATGCTGGAGGTAAAGTGTTGGTCTTCATACTTCACATACTTTATTAAAAAATATTGATCTACATACTACAGGAGTCACGGGAGTATGGAAAGATCTCATTGAATGTACTCTCCTGCTACTGGCGAGCCATTGGCACTCCCTTAGCTTGCACCACATTAACTTTTGTTGTACTTATGCAACTGACACGCAATTTATCTGATGCATGGCTGGCTCATTGGGTGACCGACACTACGCTGGATCCACAAAATAATGTAACAGGCTTGACGCATATCGTCAGTGTGCCACATCAGCAAGACGTTGGCAATCACACTGAACCAACACACAACACTAGCTATTATTTGGGCATTTTTGCATCGCTAGCGGCGCTTAATTCGATATCAACAATTGCACGTGCCTTCTTATTTGCTTCTGCCGGCATTAAAGCAGCCAAATACATACACGATCGTCTGCTGCGTAAGGTGTTATTCGTAAGTATACAATTCTGAAAAAGAGCGTTTTAGGAGGAAAGATAAAAAATGTTGGACATATTTTTTTTCTGATATTTCAACTGGGATATGTAGTCTAATGGTCTTCAAAACAAACTTAGATTTTAAAAATTAATTTGCGCATTTTTTTCTTAATTAGTAAATTAGAAATAAAGCCTTTACGTATAAAATTAACATTTAATTCCCTCTTAGGCAAAATTCAATTTCTTCGACATCACATCAGTTGGTCGCATAATAAATCGCTTCTCCTCGGACACATACACAGTAGACGATTCACTCCCCTTCATAATGAACATCCTCTTGGCTCAGTTATTAGGCTTAGCCGGTAAGTTTGCTACTTATCTTTTTTTTTCTATGATTTCAGTACCCTTAAACTTACTATTATATTTTAGGCGCCCTTTGCATAAGTTTATACGCCATGCCTTGGCTTGGTTTGATCATCATACCGATGGTACCCATATATCTCAACCTGCAATACCGATACCGTTACGCTTCGCGCGACATAAAGCGTCTTTCGAGCAATGCACTATCGCCACTGTACACTCATTTCACCGAAACTCTACAAGGACTGGTCACAATTCGCACAATGCGTGCTAGTGCGCGCTTCCAGCGTGACTTCCATGCCAAATTGGAGGAGAGCATAAAGGCGCAATTGACATCCACGGCAGCGCAGCAGTGGCTAAGTCTACGTCTTCAGCTGCTTGGGGTTTTTCTAGTAGCTGGCGCTGGTTTTCTTGCCGCCATCACCTCGGCGCACGTCACAAATCCCGGTCTAGTAGGTTTGGCTATTTCGTATGCGCTCTCCATAACCGGTCTATTGGGTGGATTACTAAATGCTGTTGCTGAAACGGAGCAAGAATTTGTTGCGATCGAACGTGTGAATGAGTATCTGCAGCTGGAGGGTGAAGAGAATGCTGAAGGCACATGTGATCCACCATTCGGTTGGCCTAGTCAGGGTGCGTTGAAATTCCAGAACGTAGAATTGCGCTATCGCGACAATTTGGCGCCCGCGTTGCACGACATCAATTTGCGTACGGAAGCATTTGAGCGTGTCGGCATTGTGGGTCGCACCGGCGCCGGTAAAACAACGCTGGTGGCGGCGTTGATGCGAGTGGCGCCATTGAGTCGTGGCGAGATCACCTTGGATTGTGTAAATTTGAAAACGCTGGCGTTGAAGGTTTTGCGCGAACGTTTGGGCATTATACCGCAAGAGCCATTCCTCTTCGAAGGTGAGTCGTGGACGCATTTTTGCACCATCCTTAAGTGGCACATTTGCCTATTACTATTTTGTTGTTTTCATTTTCCTAGGCACCGTACGTGAAAATCTCGATCCACGTTGCAGTCACTATGATTCCGAAATTTGGCATGCGCTTGCCAGCTGCCACGCAGCTACACAGCTAGTACAATCACTGGGCGGCTTGGACGGACGCATTGAGAAGGGCGGCATAAATCTTTCAGCTGGTCAGCGACAGCTGATGTGCCTGGCGCGTGGTCTACTTAAAAATGCCAAAGTTGTTTGCATCGATGAGGGTACATCCAATTTGGACGACGAATCGGCGATCGCTATGCAGCAAGCGCTGCGGAACTCGTTTAAGAGTTCGACTGTGCTGTTTATAGCGCACCGATTGCGCGGATTACAGCTTATGGACCGCATTATAGTAATAGAGCATGGTGAGATCAAGGAAGAGGGCACACCGCAGGATTTAGCGCAAAATACGCAATCACTTTTCCACGGTATGCTGCAAGCACAGCAAATAAATGTAGAGGAGTTTTGTGCGAATTAGTGCGCAGGAGTCGTTATTGATAGTGATACATGTGACAATTTTTAAACACAAAATGTTGTTGAATATTTAAAGAATTTATGCGGTACAACAATATTATTATATTTTTATTTTTATGTATGTTCCTGGATACCTCCGCCAGGGCAAGCATCTTGCCGTTGGTGCGGAGGCTTAGCTGAATCAACATCTGTTCTTCCCGAGACTGTGAAAATTATAGTTTTGGTTAAAAGAGAAATTTCGGATAAGCTTGAAATCACCACAGCTACCTAATAATGTATAAAATTCTATGATAAATAATAAAATAATAGCATAGATGAATAAGTATATATTATTTAAAAGAAACTAACTAAGCATTCACAAAATATTTTTAATATATCGGAACTATACTTAGTATTTATATCGATGTACTGAATTTCATTTATTCATTTCATTTGCGGAAAAAATATATGGGGCATTCCAGTCCAGTTCGGATACAATTTTGCTTTTTCTTCTGCGGTGGTTTGTATAATGTTTTATTAAACGCCAAAGGTCGTCAAATCAATTGCATTCATCAAAACGAACAAAAAATAAAGCGGTTTCGATTCGCCACTTCTCTGCTCGCTATATTTGAGTTCAGCCCATTTGACGAAAAATGCTGTATATGAATGGAACAACAAAATTAGCTAGGAGCGATTGACGTTGGCGAGTTTGGTTGTACCTCATTCATTTCTTTCGTTCAGCCACTCGCCATCGGCGAATCGATGGCGGCTAAATTGAGGGAAAAAAATGTCGCTTACGTTAAATATGAGTAAACGGACTAAAATAAAATAACGCTGTGATAAACAAAAAACCTTTGCTCCGAAGCCCTGGTTAGAACGGAAACACGATCAATCAACAGCATACAGCGAATATTTTTGTAGCCTACTTAGGGGGGCAGTATGTTAATGGATGTCATTTCCGGCGGCAGCAACGCTGGATATCCCCCCCTTTGGTCGGAAATTACAACTAAATTAAATATTTGAATGATTTTCAAATGGAGAACCTCCTATTCTAGTTTAAATTTATTATTTCGTTTTAACTACACGATGACACACAGAGAGTTCAATGAAAAAATTATATTTTATTATGCATTTAAAATAATTCAATATGTATTAGCGTTTTCACAAATGTTACAACAAATCTCGATTAAGAAATGTGGTAAGTCAGTATTATTACAAGTATAAAATGTAGTAAAACTAAATTTATGACATTTCAACAAGTACAAAAGATTCATTTAGTTAAATAGCTACATAGGCACTAAGTTCATAACATATAAGTGCATATACATACAACATACTATATGTCTACGCATGTGTTCACCAACATATAAATGTATACAAAGCTGATACCCAATGCTTCTTTTTAAAATTCGCCCAATTCAAATTCACTTCGATTTTAAATATTATTCGTTTTTTTTTGTTACTAAAGCTCTATAACATATACTTAATTATACATATTTACTAGCCAACACATATATTACGAAAAAATTTGGCATGACAAATCAAAATAGAAACCTGCCTCGTTTTCGGGCATGTTTGGAACGTATTACTACAATTTTGAAAAGTCTATAATACATGCACAAAAATATGTACATATAATCAAACTTAAATTTAGTATACTTTCATTTTAAAAGTTTAATGAGATCAACTTATATTTAGATGTAACCAGCAGGCTTAGGCACATTTGTTGCTATCGCATTTGCTTTCATCTTTGCAAACTTTTCAATTCATTTTTTTTTTTTTTGGTTTCGGTTTTGCAATTTCAGTACTTAAAATACACTGTAGATTAGATAATAAATCGGTATTAGATACTATACTTCTTTATAATTTGACTCACACATAAAAATAATCTTAATTTAAAGTCGAAATAAATTGGGAAAAGTGTGTGAGTATGCACGCATATACAAACATATGCATACACACAATTTGTGCATACTAAAACAAGAGTTATGAAGAAATTACAAAAATAATACTTAATGTATGCGTGCTTCTCATGGTTTTTTCATTATTCTAAGCCATTAATGAAATCGTAATTTTAATTTAATTTAATTTAGATACTTTGTAAAACATGTGCTGGTTCCAAAATATTAGAACACTTCATACATATGCATATATGTAATTGAATGGCAGGCAAATACTTGGGCATGCGTACTGGCTCACAACTAAAGGCTACAAAATTAAGCTCCTATAATATTAAAAACATGCCATCCGTAAACAATCGAAAGGAGTTGATTTAAAACTATTTATAAAAATGATAAAATAAGCTGGGAAACCTCTACTACATATACAAAACTTAAACTAATTTCGAGTTGCACAGAAATGTAATATTTATCCTTTTACGTTCTAATTTGGAGCGAGTCCAACCAAAGATTGTTAAAAAAAAAAATAATTAATTTTATTTGCTGCGACAATTGTAGAGTATCTCTTTGGGTTCGCCTGTGATATGGTCGAACTGATAATTTTCAAAAGGTGGTTCACTAAGTAATTTATTAAATTCGCATTCGAAGGAACTTATGGATTTTTGCAATTTGCTGTCTCCATTGAACTGGAAGAGTAAAAAAAAAAATGATCATCTAAATCACAAAAGAGTACAAATTTTCCAACTTACTTTTAAATACTCCTTGACAGTGTGTACAATTTTCTTGACATCATGCACAACCTCGAAAATATGCTGGTAGCCGCCCACTTGGCACTTGAGTATGATAGAGCGTACATCCATGAAATCGTTTTTATGCTTAGACATAAATTCAGGAAACTAAATACAAATGATTAGAAAATGTAATATTTTATAACTTCTACATAAAATAATTATAAACATACATAGTTTTTGGTAAATTGCGACTTAAAGAATAAATCTGCATGCTTCATAGCCATAAGACGTTCAATCATAACATTTAATTTATCAATCAGATCTTTACCCAGCGGACGTGGCGGTGCTGTGGGATCGTAATCATTTGAAAATTCTGTAAGATTCTGCTCCAATACGCGTATGTCATAGCTTAACCAATTCGGCGGCATTTTCTCCTTTATTTTCAAGTACTCAACTGCAGCTGCTGTATCCACATCGGCGGCAGGTACTGCTGGCCAAAAATCTGATATTTGTTCATCGAAAAACTGCTCAAGCGGATTATTGTTGGCTGCCAACAATTGTTGTGTTGCCGCACTTGTTGCGGCTGTTGTTGTAACGGCTGCTGCGGTGGTGCTATTCGTTTGATCCGCAAGCAACTCATCCTTTTTGATGGGATTATATGTGCCCGTTTTGAAGTAGGTGCCATTTACAGTAGCTTGACGCTGACTACCTTCAGAGTCTTCAACCATTGTATACAGATAGTTCTTATTAAGCGCGCTCTGTTGTGATTTTTCAGTGGATGCATTGAGAAAATCAAAAGAGTCGTCCAATAGTGAGTTGCCTGGTTGTAGCAGCTTGATGGTTGTGGTGCTGGGTGCCACGCGCGTACCACTGCTTTCCGTTTTCTGATATACATTCCTCTGTGATTGTACCAAATTGTCCAAATTTACAAATGATTTGATTAGATTTTCAACGAAATCCATTGTGGTATCCTGCCAAGCGGCGAAACTAGCAGCGAAGTCGGGACTGAGCGCAGCTTTTACTTTATTCAGGCCCTCTGGCGTGTTATACACATAACCCTTTATTATAATCCATGCATTGATGACACGTGTGAAGACGAAAATAAAATCCTTTACAGCCCAAGCTATGCCCTGCGAATTGATATTGGGCAAGACGCCATCTGGACGTATGAGATCCTGTTTCATGCGCGCACACAAACTATCGATCTTTTTGAAACACGGTCGATTGCGATGTGTGTAGGCAAGTTTCTCTGCTATTTCGCTACCGCGTAGTGCAAGACGAGTGAGCTCATTGAATTTGGCTTGAGAAAGCGTAACGGTGCAGCTACCCGAACTACCAGGCGAGTTAGTAGAGTTAGTGGCATCGCCACCGGCGCCACCACCAAGAGCACTATTCGGACACACGCTAGAGGTGCTGTTGAGATCACTGTAGGAAGAAAAAAGTATTGATGAGTAAAATTAAAATAATATTTATAAAAAACTTTAACATAATCAGTGAGTCATTATTTACCATAAAGCGTTAACATATTTCCATACATTCATATACCATATATATGTATGTACATACTGTGAATTAAAAAACAAACTGGGATAAGAGATTTTAGCAAGTTTTGGCGAGTTTTCTGTAGTTTATTTGATGTTTATTATTTTTTTTTTATGAAAGTTGAGCTGATTACTTAACTAACACCATAAATGTATATTCAAATTTCAGACTTTGTTCAAAAATTGTGAAAATTCTGCAAAGTTTGACTAAAACTTCTAACTTTTTAATCGTTCTCCTTACCAAATTTTGGTAAAGGTAAGGTTAAAGTGCAAATACCGTTGATTTTTGGCATTTTTTTTTTTGTTGACGGTGTTCCATGTTTTTTCCATGCAGTCATGATCGACAATTTTTTTATATGAAATAATGCGTCAAAAAAAATTGCTAAAAAGCAAATCCATGTTCTCGATACTGCAAATTTGCACTTTATTATAATAAAATTTATTTGGCTACAAAATTGCGTACCAAAAAATTTTCCAAAGATGCTGATTAATAAGTTAGACATATTGGTCAAACTTTGCAGAAATTTCATAATTTTTGTACAAAGTCTGAAATTTGGATTTATATCGTGTTTGTTAAGCTATCAGCTATACTTTCATAAAAAACATTGAATAAACTAAAGAAAAATAGCCAAACTTGCTAAAACAACGCGTATTTCAAAATTTAATTAGCTGAGTTTTTTAAATAAAGTATATATAAAATGTTTGAAAAATTGAATAAATGGAAAATGTTAATAAATGAAACATGACGAGGAAGTAACTTTAAAACTAAAAATATTTTTACTTAAATACCAACGGAATTATTTTTACTTTCTTGATTCTAATATTCGAGCGAATAAATTTTACTCGACGTAACCATCAAATGCTATTGCATATGTATGTAAACTCACTCTGAACTAAACAAAATCGGTGAACTGCGCAGTGATGAGGTTTCTATAATAAAATTAAAAAATTTTAAGATATTAAGAATTGATAAAATTTTTCATTGTAACCTTTGCTCTCCTTGTCCGTACCAGCACCACAAAAATTCAATAGATTCACCTTAGCTAAAGAAGCGTTAATCTCGTTCATCGAATTGAAATTGAGTGGCGAACTCTGACTAACACACTGCAATCCAATCTGAATATTAATTTTTTTCGAGTCATTCGTTTGTGAACGCAGCGGTGGCACGCCATTCGACGAGTTGCCGCTGCTAGTAGCAGGGGATGTAACAGAACCATTTGGCACATTTGCAGTTTGCGATACCGGCGATATATTGTTGCACTGTTGTTGTGGTAAATTCTGCATATTCTGTTGCATGCCGGCTGCAGCTGCTGGATATATCGGAACAGCAGCATAAGGTAAAGTAGCGGCCAATGCGTAGGGCAAAGCCATATTTGGGGCTGGCAGCATTGGTGATAGGAATGTAGCTGTGCCGTATGGCCATAATGCATGCATTTCTACCAGGAAATTTAAAAAAAAAATATTATCAATTGGCTTTACATTTCAATGTGCTGGCAACACTTACCTTGATTCATCATGTTGGCTAAGCGCAAGCGTTCCATTTGTTGTTGTTGCTGCGCACTTAGCCCTATTGACGTTGGAAGAGTTTTTGTTGTAAGCTGTGTAACTCCTGCGCCTGCTGCTTTGGTGTTTCCGTTAAGCAAATGTTGCTGCTGCTGCGGCTGCGGCTGCGGCTGCTGTCGTTGGTGTTGTTGCTGTTGTAGCGATTCAACGATGTGCTCCGGTGGCGTTAGAGGCACGTGTGTTGGGCCAGCGCCGTTTGTTGCAGCAAATATGATATTTGCTCCGGAAAAGTCACTTGGTAATGCGTTCGATTCCAACGAATTGACGCCCAAAATTTTACGAGCTATGTAATGTAATTGTCCTAATTAATAATATACAAGCAACTTGCACATACGTATATTTTATCGTTTAAGTGCGTTATAAAAATTTTCTTTCTTTGTATATTTGTAAATTGAATCGAAATTTCTTGGCTACTACGTTTTACAAATTTTGTTAAAAAATTTAACAAACGCAAAGTGGCTATGGCTATATCGATCATGAAAGATTTTTGGATATGTACATAGATACATATGTACTATATATAAAGTGCAATATATATACTAATTTCTGCGGCTGAATATTTCCGCCGGATACAAATTTTAGTTCTAACTAGCCACTTTATTGTAAATAGCACCGAACACTTTATAATTGTTTTCTTCACTTTAGTAATAAAATATTCAATGTAATGCCCCACAATTAACCAAAACGCCAGCAATTTCAATTTATGTACTTACGCTGTCTTTTTACTATTCGTATTTGTGGTTGTTGTTCGGTCATCTTTTTTAAAATGGTTGAGACACGATGCAGACCGTTGCACGAACTTTGGTTCCTTTTTCGTTGCTATTGGCGAGAGGAAAAGGAAGCCAAAGCAGCTGTTTCAAGTATTCGTTACTTTCGCAAGAGCTTTGATTTAGAATTTTTACGAAATTGCTTAGCAATCGGTTTAAATTGCTTCAACGCTCCTTTTATTACATAAAATTTTTATTCATACAACACTTGGATAACATTTATAAAATATATATTTTTTATATTATTTACACCAAATTCAAAAATCTAGAATCGTAGTAACAAAAATACAACGAATTGAAAGAGAAATTTGACGACAACTGATGATTTAAGCAATGTTGCTGCTACAGAAATTTTATCCCTTTGAAAGCGACGAGTGTTGGAAGTATGTCGAAGCAACTGAATCTAATAATTCACAATAGTCTAACGCGTCTGCTTAAAAGTAAAATTTTGACTTTCCAAGTTTATTGCCGTTTAATTCTGCGTTCGAATGGAAATGTAGCTTATGTCGAAAGGCTGGCTTTAGTATAATGCGGCATTCCCTTTATTCTTTAAACGACAAGGAATTTTTTGATGAGACTTAATAAGAATATTGACTTGCTAGTATCGAAACTAGGTTCGTTCGCATAGCTGTTAATTGTTCATGTTTAACCAAAACTTACAAGTTTTTGGGTTCGCGTACGCAAAAAACTTGCAAAGTAGGGGAAATTGAGAGAGCAAACTGACATTTCATTTTGAGGGGAAGCTGTTGGTTTCTGCTGGAAAAATTTTTGCCAACAGCAATTTGCCAACAGGAAAACAGCTGATCAAAAACAGCTGGTTGGCATTTACGCATACGATAAAAATTACAAAATGCGACTAATTAAACTTGTAAGAAATAAGTAGTTATTTGTTTAATCAATAAACTGTGTCAGTATAACACTTTGCGATGACTTTTCGTACGTTTTAAATTTTACACTTTTGTATGTAAACAAAAATTATATCAGCTGTTCGTCTAATTTGCAAGTTTCTGCAAATTTTCTGTTCGCGTACTATTTGGGATATTTTTCTCTTGTGAGAGAACAGATGACATTTCGCCGGAATTTGGCAGTTGGTTGGTTTTTACTGAGATTTTAAACGAACGCACCTATTATAAAAAGCTCTAGGTGTTGTCCGCTTGATCTCCTTTTTTAACCGACTTCCAAAAAAGGTGGAGGTTATCAGTTCGTCGGAATATTTTTTTTTTTTTATGTATGTTACCTCATAGCTTTGGACCTCGTCAACCGATTTCGATAAAATTTCGTTTTTTCAACGGAAAGGCAGTGTCTCAGAGGTGGTCCCATACTAATTTGGTTAAGATCCCATCATTGAATCCGGAAATATATATATATATATTTTTTTTTTTAAGTCGGTTTTTTTTTTTTACTAAAATTTCCTTGTCTTATTGTAATTTTGGATATGTTTTTCTTAAGTTTGCGCCTCTTCTTTGTTGATTTGAACTTCTGTAAGATTTACGTGCCTGACATTGAATTGAGGTTCTTCTTTCTGTTGTCTATTTACTACTTTTTGATTTTTTGCTTTCAATTTTTGGACTTCTTCTCCATAACATTCCCTATTCGTGTTTTCATTTGATTAAAAGCACCGAAGGTGGAACAAAACCGAAATCGGTTTGTCTGCAAACCAAACTTGACAAGGAATGACGGAAGTTCGATTCCAAATAAAACTACTTTCTACCCTGTCGGAAAAATCAACCTACAAAATCAGCAAATAAAAAATTTCAAATTCATTTAATAGAAAAGAAGTTTATTGAGTAGTAATCATTATATAGAACTTTATATATATATATATAAAACTGCATACTCGTGTTATTGCTTTTTTCTATATAAACAAATGTAAATCAATAACTGCATATTATAACGATTGTTATATCACTCGAAAACATTATTTTTTTTTAATTAATCTAAGAAATTATTTATTGTGCTAATTGTAATTAATTTTATATTTAATTTACTTCTTATTCATTGTTCTACAACAGCATTTAAATGAATTAGGCCTTTTTACTACTTACGCACTTTTATGCATTTGTGTATATTTATCTGATACATTAATAAATATCTAATAATTTTGCTGGATATTTTATATTGATATGATCATAACTCCTTTAATGATAATTTTTTTTATATGAACATTCACTTCAATTGCGAATTTTGAAACATTTCTTTTGCTGCTTAGCAATATAAAATCCTTGGGGTTGATTGTCATATATCCACGCCGTTGCGATTTAAAGTGCCACCCTTGTATGGTGGGGGTTTTGGGCGCAAATAGGTGTTTGATGGACTGTCGGTTTGATAATAGCTGTTGTTAGGACTAAAGTTAGAAATGAGTAATAAAATCAGACTATACTTATTTTAAACGATTGTTTTGTTTGCAAACCTATGTGAGTGCATGCTGACATTATCCAACAAGCAATTGGGATCCTTCAAGCTCTTCAAAGTAGTCACTGGCTGATCAGTGTTGCTGTCAGAACATTGTACCATTTGAACGGTTGATGTAGCGGGTTGATAGGTCGATGACATTTCACTAAAGTGAGGACAAAATATTATAAAAAAATATTACATTAAAAGAATATTCAAAGTAGAAATACAATCATATATCGATGGCTGAGTGGAAGATCGATCTATCTCGGCTGCCAGTTCGAAAACGCTCTATCTCAAAAAACTTTTTAAGAACGCCCTATTTCAGAATTTTATTGAAAAACACCCTATCTCAAAATTCGGTTCAAAAATGCCCTATCTCACTTCAAAATGTATTGAAAATATGCTGTTATAGGGCGTTTTTGAATCGGCAGCTGAGATAGGGCGTTTTTCAAACGAATTCTGAAATAGGGCGTTCTTGAAAAGTTTTTTGAGATAGAATGTTTTCGAACTGGCTGCCGAGATAGGTCGATCTTCCACTCAGCCATCGATATAGTTTCAAAAATTACATTAAGTAAATTAAAAAACATTTGCAACTTAAACCCCAAATTCATAAAAAATTAAATAAATTTGAAATGCTTTATACACAGAAATTTGTGTAAAAATACAACTTAATAAAAATTTTTTAAATTTTATATTGTTTTTTTTTATGAATAAGGCCATTTAGTATCTATGTACTTTTATTTACAAACTAAAATCACCTTCCTGCCTCGTCGGAATCACTTTCATTTTCCTTTTCACAGGACTCTTCACAAATATGGAAAATATTTTCAAAGAAAAACTCTGAGTTTGGATCATATCTACAAAAAATAAATAATATTAAGTAAATCAAAAAATAAAACATACATATCTACATATTAGGGTGGTCCTTAGAGTATTGGTATCTACATTTTTTATGGAATATGCTTTTATCCACGAGAATTTCAAAATTTAAATGATAAATAAAGGCTCTGTGCCAATCGGTAACTTTTTCTTTCGTGGTGAGACGGGATGGAAAAATTTACTATGGTGTAAGAATAAATTGAATTTTACTATGCCAAATGCAAAGTAAAATTTTGACACTTGACAGCATAATTTTGGTATTTTGCTGAAATTGTTAAAATTTATATTTATTTTATAACTTGCAAGTAACATAAACCTTTTTTATGCTTTTTCAGCTTTCATTTTGATTTTGACTTATGGTAGGTAAAATTATTGGTTCGATCCGTCAAAATTTCATCTTTTCTATCAATTAGCACAGGCCCAAAATGTAACTTTTTTAAATCGCAAAAATTCGACGAAATTTTTACATGAAATCTGATAAATTTTAAATATTATTGAAACTTGTTCATATATGTAAATTCACAAACTCGCCGATTCAGCTGGTTTAAGTAAAATTTTTTTTCCAATTAAAAAAACGTAAATTATTTCAATCGATTGTAGCGATTCCTAATATTTTTTTTTAACTTTGAAATTATCGTGGATGTTTTTATTTTGTAGGCAGAATTACATTTTTTCCAAATCTGTGAGCCACTCCTAAATTGTTTTTTTTTTAATCTCTACGTATTCGTGGATATTTTTACTTTGCACGTAGAACAAGGACCACCCTAATACATATATATTACAAATATTAACAAAATATACACAAAGTAGAAAGGAAAAATTAAAATAAATCATTATAGTAGTACTGGAAATATTAGAATAAGCGCCGCAGTAAGCACAGCTTAGTAGTTTTTTAAGGATAAATCACACAGCTTTTGTCTAATTTATTATAACAGCACCGAAATTTCGCAACCGTCCATATTTTATATCCCGACATGAGATTTCGAGTTTCAATTTCCAATAACCACTTTTACAGAGCAATTCTACAGAGCAATTCTAGCTTTGGCAAGATTTTGTTTATTCTGGCAAAAAAGTCTTACAAAAAAAGCTACCTTCCCAACTTTCATGGTGAAAAGCTCTTTTGACCGAAAGCACTTGACCAGTTCCAATGGAAAATATATTTTCTTTAATTTCATATAATTTTTAGGAACTGATTATATTTTCTGCTGGTTTTTCAATTAAATTTTTTTGTTTTTTTTTTTTAATTTAATTTTCTTTACATTGTTATTGTTTTAAAAAGAAAAAATTGTAAATTTATTTTAACTTCATTTAATTTTTGGAAACTTATTTTATTTATTATATCAATTTTATAATATTTTTCTTTTCTAAAAGCCAAACAGAATAACGCTAGGACCTCCTCGTTAGCAGATCTATCAATTAGTATTTCCAAATACAGAAAATTGCTTTCCAGATAGTTTCCGGAATTGGCAATTGCCTTACGAAAGACTTGTGTTTTCCAAAGACTGCGGTGACTGGAAAGACAGTTGCCAGAATTGCCCTTTTAGTCAACCAATCAAATATATCTACTTTTTATCAGGAGTTCAAATATCGTTAGTTTTTGTTTTAATTTTATTCGTTTCTGGCTGACATTATTATTGTAGTTTACGCTCGTATTTCGTGCTGCCCTCATTCACCACCAGACACACGCGATTCTCTTTCCAATTTCGAGAAGGCAGAAGCACCGATTGTTTTTTTTTTACCGATGATGTCGATGGCGTCGGCAAATGCTATTGTAATAAATCACATGAAAGGGAGTCGCCCATTCTGTAGCCTCGTTTGGTATCAGACGGTTCGGTAGGCAGCTTGTTTTCGTGCTGTCGAAAGTGGTCTTGAGATCGACAAATGAATAGTGTATGTTGATCCTTTTATAGCGGGTCTTTTGGTTTGCAGTATTGTGAACAGCTGGTGTACCAGGCCCAAGCAGTTCATTGACGGTGAACTGTAGCCTTTCCCGCAATACGCTCGATAAGACCTTATAGCTGATGCCTAGAAGGCAGGTCCCGCGGTAGTTGGTGCAAACGGTGGCGTTCGCCTTTTCTGTGGATTGGGCAATGCACACTTAAATTTCAGTCGTCGACTGGGAGCTTGGGCTTATCTTCACCACTACTTTCTGTACAGCTACCATTCGCAAAGGGCAATAAAGTGTTCCCATTATATTTTAAGTATATTCTAGACATCGGTCACTAGATCGCCGTGTTTTTTCTTAACTTAACTTTCTAATAAAGTTTTCCGGCGTTTTACCTGTCGGCCAGCATTTAAAGCTCTTTACACTCACTTTTTCCGACTACATATCCATTCTTATTACGCCTCGCTTCCCTCTGCGGGTCCCTATATCGCAGCATGTCCATGTAGGTGGCATTTCTTCTCTACAGTTTTGGACGTTCTATATCGTAGCTCTTTCGGGCTCGCTGATGTCCAACGACGGCGGTGGTTTGTAATAAGCCTGTTATGATTGTAGCTTTTCATCTGAGTTTATGATTGGTCCACGGATTGAACGTACGTCTAATACAGTGGAAGCGAGCGTTCCGTCTTATACAACAGGATCGATTTGGTTTCTTGTTTTTCGATGTGTGGACAACCATGTAGTCTCATAAATTATTTCCTCTTTGAACCGAGTGCTTCCTGTCTCGGCGGCGTCGATCAGCCTCAGAAATACGCGAGATGTTGAAGAATCTCGTCAGTCTCTAACGCACCACAAATTCAGCACTGACTTTTCGCATCTTCAAATGGCAGCTGTAGTAGCCGTCGCAAGGCCTTAAGGCCTCCATGCCTTAACCCGTAATTTTTGGACGGCGGTGATGTCAGCCTTAGTTTTAACGTGGACATCAATCAACCGGGCAGAGAAGTGCCCTATTAGTGGTTCGGACGTTCCAGGTGATGCCTACAAATCTTAATCCTTTAAATTTTTGTCGTGGTGGTCATCAAAAAAAGTTAAAGTACTTTTGTTTTCATTGGAATTATTTTTTATGTGGCGGATGCCAAACTCAGCGCGCAGCCAGGAACTTTTTTTAACTCCATATCTTTTTAGAGAGCCCCTTGTCTCCACATAAAACCGAACAATATAAGAAAACAAATAATAATAATAATCAATCGGTTTATTTTACCCCGATATCAGATTATTAAAATATTAGGCGGATCGCTCCAGGGATTTACAAGCGATGCGGTGACCAGCGAAAATTATTAAGCTGTTACATATAGAATGCACAACAATAACTAAACTTTCCAGCAAGGCGAATTTATACAAGGTGGTGTTGATGGCGAATTAAATTTTCGCCGCGGTACTACTGAATGTCAAAATGATGAAGTTTTGGTTAAACATGAACAATTAACAGCTACGCGAACGAACCTTATATTGCGAACGGACAGTAAAAGCTAAACNTAAGACGTACCTCGGCGAAAATCTAAATTCGCCATCAACACCACCTTGCATAAATTCGCCTTGCTTTCCAGTTGATTATATTGCGAACGGACAGTAAAAGCNGATATCAGATTATTAAAATATTAGGCGGATCGCTCCAGGGATTTACAAGCGATGCGGTGACCAGCGAAAATTATTAAGCTGTTACATATAGAATGCACAACAATAACTAAACTTTCCAGCAAGGCGAATTTATACAAGGTGGTGTTGATGGCGAATTAAATTTTCGCCGCGGTACTACTGAATGTCAAAATGATGAAGTTTTGGTTAAACATGAACAATTAACAGCTACGCGAACGAACCTTATATTGCGAACGGACAGTAAAAGCTAAACATTAATTTTTCATACTTACAATCTCCCGTGCTGAAAGCAAAGTGCCGCCGACAAGATACCCAAAAGTACAGCGAAAATCATGCCAGGAATGGCGAAAGCGAAGGCAAACTCATCAATATAATTGCGATCTGGCACATCCTCGCGTGCAATGCCCAACCAGCGGTCGGTGCGCTTGAAATTGTCATGATGACTCCGATGACCATAATTGTGAAAGAGTATTTCCGGTGAAATATCAGCGCCAACTGTCTTAAAAGCACACCAATCTAACTTGAAACCAGCATTCTCGAACACCTTTTGCACAGAGGTGCGTTTGTAGGTGCAAGTGGATAGTTTGTAGAGGGGACGTACTTCCTCCTGCAACTCCTTGAGGCGTGATGAAAATTGAGCAGAGCTGCCAAGGTGTACAACAACGCTGGAAATTGAAAGTGGGCAATAGAAATATTAAGTGCCAAAAAAAAACGAAGTTTGCAATAAAAAGTATTTTTATATGCACATTAGGGTGATCCAAATAAACTAACCTAACGAAAATGATAAAATAATTAAACAAACTTTAACAATTATCAAAATGTAGAATTGTTGAGTTCTTTATAGTTAAATTTAAAAAATAAAGTACATTTTCACTGTACAAATGTCCTACCCGCGACGGTGGAATACCCATACTTTATTGAACTTATGAAAAAACATGCAAAACATTTTCAAAATAAGGTAATACTTCATTCAACCTATTAATAAAATTGAATTTAATATTTTAAATGGCAATTTTTTAGGTGGCAACTACTTTTAAATTTATTATATATAAATATTTAAAAATTGCTTGATAAATTTTCATTTTACTTATTGATTAAATATAGTTTCACTTTTTTTGCAGGTGGCAACCCACTTACTGAAAAAAACGTATGGAAAAATAGGATTTGACTTTTAAACTTGCCACCTGTTTAAAAATATTTACAAAATGAGGCTTTCTTAAACTTCATTCATTATTAATAAAATTGAATTTGACTTGTGGAATGGGTGGCAATCCACTTAAAAATGTTTTCATAATATGGCTTTTGTAAATTCCGGTTTTGTGACATCCGTATTGTAAAATTTCGAAGAGCTTTCAATGTAAAGCAGAATTTAACTTTTTAAGCAGATCGCATCGCTTTTCATAAAATTTGCTATATATTAATCTAGGTCATAAGCTGTCTGAATGCCAAATTTTATACAAAGAAAAAGCAACAAACATACACACATACTCACACACTTACAAACAAACTTATCTCGTTTGATACCCATATTAAAATATTTTATTTAACTTGTTAATTAAATAGAATGGAACTTTTTTAACAGGTGGCAATGCTCTTAAAGAAAAGTTTCGAAATAGATCGTTTTTGATACCCGCACTCTGTTGTGATACTCTATTTAACTTAATAATCATTCGACTTTAACTCTTTAAACAGGTGGCAACTCTATTATAGAATATTTTCAAATAAATCGTTTTGAAACCCTTTTCGTTTGACATCTACACTACTGTAATAGTTTGCTTAACTTAAAAAAATAATTCACTTTAACTTTTGAAAAAAGTGGCAACTCTCTTAGAAAATTTCTCTTATATTAATCCAGGTTATAAACTATCTGTGCGTAAAACTTTTATTGAAACACGTCTGGCCGTTTTAACGTACACGAACAACAAACATACTCACACACTCACTCACAAACTTTCACATTTACATATAATAGTTATTAGTAGGATTTATGTATATTTATCTACCCCTCGCGCTGCTGTGGTCGCAATGGCAGCCTTCCACCCATATTTACTGCCGACTCCATGAATACCACACTCAAATCGCTTTCACTTTCTGGCCACAGATCCTTACGAAAAATGTTGCGTAAATTCTCAACACGTCCCGGATCCATCAAATGCACCCAATTCAAATTGTCTATTTTCATTTGTATGATATTCAACGAAGGCAACTTCTGTGCCACAAATATCGAAAGCTTTGCTGTGCGCGTCTCATAGTTTTGCTTATTCAACGCCACAATATCCAAGCGTACCGACTTGTCGGCCAAACGGTCAGTTGGTGTGCCATACAAGAAGCCAGCATGATACTCGTGACTGTACTTGTAACGCAGCCAGGAGGGTAAATCGGCGTAGCCTTCTAGCGAAACACGATAGCGAAATTGTTCGCTAATGACCTGATGGGTCCAATTGAAGAGCAACGGTTCAATTTTGTAGGAAAACAATTCACCCACAGCTGCTTGTTCCATGGCGGCGGTAGTGTGGCAGCATGCCAGGAGGAGCACCAACGCCAACATGGACGAATGCAAAAATAAATTGTGTATAGGCATGTTGACGAGACGGCGAGTGGTAGTCGGCCTGAACGAAATTGATTTTTCCCCCTTTTTTTTTGCTGCTGCTCAAAACATATTTCGTAGCTATTGGTGATGAGGGGAAAACTTATTTAATTAAAACTTGTGTTTTAAGTAACAAATCAAATTTGTGAATGCACAGAAGCACTATATATAAAAACTAAATTAACTTTTTATCAGCGATTTATTATAAATATTCGTAATAAAAAATTTTTCCACAAGCACAAATGCGAAAGTTAACAGCGAAAAATTCCAAATGAAAATGCTGAAAATTCCATCAGTTGTGTATACGCGTGGAATCATGCAAGCTGTAGCATACATACTCAAATGGGGTTGAGGAGGTGGTATACGCAAAGTATTTTTACTTCCATATGTACCCTGCAGTAAAATTTAGAGACAGTCTCTTAAAGCGCTAGTTCCGCCCTACACATTTCAGAACCATCTCTGATCTAGTGCAAAACGGCTGCAGAGAGGGACAGTTAAAACTTTCGGTGTGTTAGTTGCGCTCTGTTGAGAAGTAAATGCACAAATTCTCACTTCTCGTACAATACGAAAATAGCTCAGCGGGAAGAGCTCCGACTCTAACATCGTTGATCACGATTTCAAATCTCGGTGGAGGCAGTTGTGATTTTCAGATTTAAGAAATTTAAATTAATGAGTGCCGCTTAAAAACTGAAGAGAAAGTGATCAAATTTAATATAAACAAAATAAAAAAAAATAAATAAAAATTTAATAGAATGCAATCTCTAAAAGAACAGAAAAAATGAAAAAATATAAAAAACATCTAATAATCAGAATTTTTTTAAATAAAAAACTTATTGTCGCAGATGTGTCCAAAATGGAAGCAGTGCAGAACTAGTTCAAAAGTTCTGCAGAGGGGGGCAATTTCCACTTCGTAGGACATCGCCATGTAAAAAGAGACAGTTGAAAGCATTGCGTTGGGATAGATCGAGAACCAGTACCGCCTCTTAAAGGGCTAGTTCTGCGCTAGTCTTGAACTAGTGCGATTTACTGCAGGGTACAGACATATATATGCATGTATGTGTGTGTAGGAGTGTTAAAGAAGAAAAGAGAGCAATTCACATTTTCTGTTTACTTATAAGAATTTGTTTTGGGAAATTTTTGTGCATTTTTGCAGCTTCGCGCACTTCCACTGTTTATCAAAAGAAGTATTTTTAATTGAACAATTTTGAAAACAATTGCCATGTCATCCTACTAATCCAACTAATATTATACTAAATGTGAAAGTTTGTAAGTGAGTGAGTTAGTGAGTTAGTATATTCGCTGCTATTTCACGCCAAAAACGTTTGGAAATATTTCAATGAAACATGGCACACAGATAGGTTATAACCTAGAATAACATATGCGAAATTTCTTCAAGAGAGTTGCCACCTTTTCAAAAGTTAAAAATCAATTAATTAATAATTTAAATTAAATATCATAACAATGTGGCTGCCAAACGAAAGGGGGTTGCCACCCGTCTCAAAAAGTTAAAGTCAATTTAATAATACGTTAAACGAACAATTTTAATGAGGGTATAAAACGAGAGAGGTTTCGGAAAGCTTTGTTTCAAAAATATTTTTAAAGCTGCCACGTCTTTAGAAATTCAAAATCAATTTGGTTAACAAANAACGTTTGGAAATATTTCAATGAAACATGGCACACAGATAGGTTATAACCACAATANTTAATAATACGTTAAACGAACAATTTTAATGAGGGTATAAAACGAGAGAGGTTTCGGAAAGCTTTGTTTCAAAAATATTTTTAAAGCTGCCACGTCTTTAGAAATTCAAAATCAATTTGGTTAACAAATTAAATGAAATTTTTTGATATGGGTGTTTAACGAGAGATTTTTAAAAAAGCTTTATTTCGAAAATATTTGTTAAGAGGGTTGCCACCTGCATAAGTATATAGCATATGTTTACAGGGGGTCGGCGCCCGCTTTTTTAAATTATAAGTTCAAGGAAATTTCATAACACTGATCCCAAACGAATGAGATCTAGACTAGCTTAAATGTGCAAACATTTTTAAGAGAATTGCCACCTATTTAAATATTTAAATTCAATTGTATTAATAAGTTAAATCAAGTACACTTAGGTCTGCGTTTTATGCGGTTTTTAGCGGATTTGAATTTATGCGGTTTATGAAACTGCTGGAACGCATCCCCGGTTTTTGTATGAAATTAAAGAACTTTTTTATGCGATTTTTTTTTATTCGCGGCTTTCTGAGGAACGCATGTACCGCATAAAACAAGACCTAAATGCATTAAAATATGGGTGGCCAACGAAAGAGGTTTAAGAAAGTTTTATTTTGAAGACATGCTTTGCTCTATCAGGGTTTAGCTGAACTCAACTCTGTGAACAGCCGCGACTTTCAACGCTATGTCGAGCCCTAACCGCCAAAATAACGTAAGCGACACTTTTTTCAAAAATTTCTTTTTGATGCAGAAATATTCCTAGAGCATCTAGATTCATTTCTGCATCAAAAAGAAAATTTTGAAAAAAATGTCGCCTACGTTATTTTGGCGGTTAGGGCTCGATGTGTTTCTATCACATATTGAAAACAAGTCTTGAGTTAAAACCAAAAAATTGGCATTACTGCCGGTGTGCCTATGGAACCTGTATCACAATTGTTACGAATTTTGTTTAAGAACAAAATTTCCTTATTTTTTTGCAATTTTGTTATTTTTTTAAGCTGACTTTACCTAATTTAGAGGCGCTCCAAAATAAACTACTACACAGCTTGAAACAGCTGTATAAAAAAGCGGACAAACATTTCCATTCTCACCTTTTGGTGTGCATGTATTTAAAAGGCTGAACAACCGATGTACATTAGACCGTACCACCTTACAAGCAAACAAAAAACAGATCGCCGCACTCCCCTGAATCTAAAATATTTTTGCAAGGCTATTGCAAAATTTTTATTTTTTTTCGGTAGAACCTCAATTTTTCGGTGACATCTACATTCGGCAATAATTTTTTATTTTTTTAATAGTTCCACTGGATCATCAAATCAAATACCTCCTTGGCAAAAGTTTATTGATTTTTGGTCAGCTTTAATTTATTGACGTTAGGGGTGTACGTAAGGGTGGTAGGAACTGAGATGTGGTCGGTAAGTCCTAGAACGGAGTACTTGAGGGCAATGCACTTTGGAAGAAAAAGAAAAAATTTCCCCTCGAGACAAAAACATCCATACCTTAAAATCCAATTGTGAATGCCGAAAGTACGATAAAAAATGTGAAAAACGCAAAAAGAAAATGTTTTTCGAAATAGCCTTGCAAAAGTGCTTTAAGACTCAGGGGGTGCACGGCGTACTCTTTTTTCTTTGTAAGGTGGTCCGCTCTAATGTACATACATATGTACATATATGCTCAAAACGAATAGACGTTAGCTTAGACAAAGCGTGTCTGAGACGAACATTACTTACATATATGTATGTGTCTTAATATGTATGTAAACACATACATACATATGTATGTGATGTAATAAAATTTGAATTTCGCAGAGATGTTCAGTTCACTAATTTAGTCTGCTGGCGGTGATCATTTAAATCAGAATAGTTAAAAGTGCTCTAATTTTAAAAGCTTGCAATCTTACTAATATTATAAATGTGAAAGTTTGTATGTATACAAGTGTTTTTCAGCAAGATTGTGGCAGTGAAATACTGAAACAACATAAATAATGAAAAAAAAAATATTAACTGGAAAACGGAAAATTTTTGCATATAAGAAATATTGAAGCGAGAATTTTTCATACATACAAAAAATAAAAAAAAAATGTGTGCAAGACAAGCAAAGTGTTTTTTTTTTTCAATATATCAATTGGTCTCGTGCCAAGGCCATTTGACTAGGTAGTACCAGGGGAACCGTTGATTTGAATTTTTTAAAATTATTTGGTCTCTAAAGTGTTGCAAATTGTTTAATATTTTTTTCACAAAAATTCTAAGTTGGTAAAATGTATTTGCATGTGAAACCTTTTTAAAAAATAAGCGAATGAAACCCCTATTTCGGAACATTTGCTTAATTCAGGAGCACAAACACTTGCAAAGGATAAATCTACATAGGTTTCTGGTGGCAAAAGAATACCGCATAATTTTTTTTATTTCAATTTCTTTTAAAATTTTCGTTTATGCACTATGGGTAATTTTATCAATTTATGTGGCCAAAAGTCGTGTTTTTTAGTTGAAAAAATAAATTTTTTCTCCTTGGCATTTGACAAACACAGCTTCAAACCAAATAACGGTGTCTTTTGGTTTTGTAAAAGTCGTTTTCTGTAAGTGAAATATTGGATTCGATTTAGTGTTTTTTTTTGTTACTATTTCCGAACAACCATATTTAAGATAATATTTACCTAAAAAATTAATAAAATACAAAGAATAAAGAGATTAGTAAGCACTTTAAGATTTATAACTTGTTTTAGAACTTTTTTTGGAGTGCAAAATTCATACTTCTGATATAACGTTTTTTTCTTAAAAATTATATTTGAATAAGCTGGAATATGTTTGCCCTACTTGGCCGTCTTAAGCCTATCAAAGAAGTGAAAAATTGAGAATTTGAGTTTAATCTGTAAATTTAATTTTGCAATTTTTAGCGTTTTCTGAGTAGGTATTCCTTATTTGGAGACCATTATAAAAATTGCTTTTGTAATTAAGTGACATTTTTCTCTTAAATATAAATATTTAGAAAAAAACTTTTTCAATAAAACCACAAATCAAAAGTGACCCCTTTTGAAGACCTCAACCATACATACTGTAAATTTTCAAGAAGGTATTTTTTTAACATATGAATTTTTAAATTTTTTAATTTTTTTTACAAACTCTAAAACAAGTAATGTTATTATTCAATTTAATTTGACTTAGGGTTTGCAATTAAATTGTTTTTTAAGTTCAAAAATTATATCTTTACAAAAAAACACCTTGAAAAATTCTGGATCCTTTACGATCAGTGAGTGTACCGCATGCCAGAAACATGAATGTGTAAACATAAAAATTTTAGGAAATCAAGATTGAAAGTTTTTTTTTTCACGAGACTTAACTATGCATTCATGTAATTGACATTAGGGGTATTCACGATCCGGTGCATACTATCTAGCATGGTGCATAGATAGCATAAATAGCTTGATTGGCTAATTTTGTTGTTGT